AATTAGTTAAATTGTTCTTACATTAATGTAAATTTCATACGCCCCTTTAAGTAGGCATTTCCAAAAACAAAAACGATTTACACTATAAATATGTACATACATACATATTTACTAAAGGTTAAACTTATATTTATTAACGTTGAACTTATAGCTGTGCATAGACCATTGTAACCTTTTTAATGTCAGATTCAAGGTTGAGAGTATATAGTTAATTACATATGATTATGGGTCCTTATATATTAGTTAAAAAAATCCTAACTAAGCAATATATCATATCAATTCATATCATACAGAAAGAGATCTTTTATAGTACAAAAAAGAAAGATAAAACTAGAAAAATAAAATAACAGAATAATAGTTATATTTTCTAAAACTTATAATAACACACAATCAAAAAGCATTTCAGTGGTTATACTATATGTACATGTGTACATACATATGTATATATGAAAATTATTTTGAATCACGTTTCAATTACCCGCGAGTATTCTGGTTTCGGTCTAACAGTTTTTCATACCCTCGTCGGAAGGTGGTAATACTTTATTACTTACATTTGTGTTAATTTGTGAGATAATTATATTTTTATCGGAGCCGTTTCAATCAATACAATAACATCATCTTTAGACGCGTTTAGAGTATTAATATACATATGCCGAAACTCGTTAATTTGAACCTGAACCTAATTTTAATGGAAATGAATGTCGGATGTTTTTGTTTTTATTGGTTTAAAGTGAGCCAATTGTACATATGGGCATATCCTGGGTTACGAACGCGACATTCGCACGCGTAACTAAGCTTAAAATAGGAAGGAAACTGAAAGGTCGTATGTATATCACAACTATTACAAGGCACTGCGAAGGTGCTATATTCAACAAAAGTTTTTGGAAGTAAAAACGGTTAAGTACAAAGATACAAGCAAATAAAAAATGCAAGTTTTTTTTGGGGATATGCCCATATATCGCTATTACCGAATTCTAAAAAATAAAGAAAGGTTCCAGTTAAAGAGTTTCAGTTGAACACAATTACTATAAACGTTCCCTTTATTTTCATTTACACAGAGATGGTACGTCGGTGCGAGTAACGGCAAATGGTTTAGAAAAACAGCCTGGTATCTTCATATCACGGCTTGTTCCTGGTGGCCTTGCTGAGAGTACTGGTCTCCTAGCAGTTAACGACGAAGTTATAGAAGTGAATGGTATTGAAGTGGCTGGCAAAACCCTAGATCAGGTGCGATTTACCTTTCCTTTAAGTTTGTCAATATCCTGTGGATATTAATCAACATAACTTTCACAGGTCACCGATATGATGGTAGCAAATAGTTCCAATTTAATAATTACAGTTAAGCCGGCAAATCAGCGCACGCTTACCTCACCAAGACGCGGTTCTTTCTCGCGTACCAGTCAACTATCTAGCGGTTCACATCATACCAATCAGACTAATACATCTGATGAAAATGAACAGGATGACCAAGACGAAGTTGTCGATCTGACTGGTGTAACACTCGATGATCACAACAACGTTGCACAGCAGCCACAACTTCAACAACAGTCAACTGTGCCTTCACCGGCTTTGATAATCACGTCACAACATCACCAAACGGCATCAACAGCTTCAACAACAGTTGTTGGAGGCGGCGAGTCAAAAGATGGTGTACTACATCTTTGAATGGAATAGGGAAAGGGACAAATTTGAATACTGAGAATGAAATGAAATGACCGGGTTTTTAGAGCAAGGGCGCAAACGAAACTTTTAAAAGTCGAACAAAGAAGTAGTGCGGAGTATATATACATGCATTCATAATACATATATTTGAAAAAAAAAATCTAAGTCTACAAAAATCTAAGAAATCGTAGGCATAACAAATACGAAAAAAGACACATATACACACAAATTTTCATGCTTCACGTTTTATTTTTTATTTCTACATTCGTAACTAGTACTACTTAATTATGTATAAATTAATTGTGTAAAGTGAATAGTTATTTATGCGTTTAACGACGGTTCGCGGAATTGTTACAAATTGCTTTTCAAACACTATGCACGTCGCCGCAACTTAACTAAACAAACTGTATTATTAGGAACTTATACACATTGATATACATGCATACATATCTGCAAAACGTCAGAGAAAAAACGTGTGTTGTTAGTATTTTTAATCGTGTTTTACTGTAGTTGTCTATTTAAATTAATGTTAAATTGTCAGTTTATTTTAAACGTGCTATTTTGTATGTGTAATTGTTTCAAATATAATTAAATTTAAATACATATTAACTGACAGTGTACACTGTTCATCAGACTTACATTCCAAGAAAAAATTGTGATTTTATGTAATTTGTGTAAAATTTTTGTTTGGATTCTTAAATTCTATAAATGCTTATTGTAGAGGGTATTTTGTTTTTCGTAAACCTTTACATACATATGTATGTCCCTTGAATGCCAAGGCGAAGAAAATAAATACAGTTTAACTATTTTACCGTAATATTCAAGTTGGGTTTCTGACAGCCTCGGCTGAATTTATAAGATTTTCGCAATCACCAATTTTATATGCTTATACACATTGTTGTGTTGCAAAATATCAAGAAGAAAAAATGTATACTTCCTGTCGCCTATATTATTAAGCGTTGAAATGAATTTGTAGTAAAAACGAATAGAAAAACATACGTAATATTTTGGCGTTCACGTTCGAATGGCTAGTACTAAATTCTTAAGGCACAGTCACTAAATAAACATGCGAAGCCCAATGTATAGACGACAACTGAAACTACAACTGATGGAAATGCCTTATTTACGTAATTACGTTTCAATGAGGCATTTAACCGTGGTTGCGCATATTGGACATTTCCATCAATTACAGTTTAGAAATAAAAGCGTCTGATGCTTTGGCCTGATGCATTTCTGAACACACCAACACACCCTATGCTGGTACTTAATAGGTAGGGGCTTATTCAGAACATTTATTTCATCACAACATACATATGTACATACGTGTGACAACAAAGTAAAAACTAAACTCTCACAAATAAGTAAAATTTATTACGAAACAGCTTTACTACTAAAAATTTGCTCAATATAAACATTTTAATGAATATTCTAAATAAAATTGGTGTGCAAATAACTTTTTAAACCTACCAAAGAGTAAATTAATAAAAATTTTTCATACACATACAATTTGAAAGTGCATTAAAAGAAAAAAAAATATTTAATTAAAACATAGCGACTAAAAAATTAACTAAAGAGAAAAAAACTAAAGTAAAACATCAATTTGCATGTGTCTTATAGTCTTTTAGTAAATTAAAGTACTTATACAATACTATATACACCTATACCAGTCCATATGTACATACGTGTGTATATAAAAATTGAGACAGCTCGTCCTATTTAACGCTCGTCCACTAGTAGTTAGCAAGACTAAAATACAACTTTTTACTTCTCTCTATTGTTGAAACGTTGTTAACTTAGAGCAAATAGCAACCACTCAAAAGACTTGTCAATTTATGCCTTCGTATGTAATGGTTTTTACAATAAAATGTTATACAAAACAAAATCGAAAATACCGAAATTATGTTAGCTAAAAGGAATTTTAAGCAATATTAAGAAAAAAAGCTAAATTTTATTTGAGTTGGAGAATAAATTTTTAAGCTGCATATTAACTGTCAAAAAGCGAATAATAACAAGAAGAAATCTTGTGAAATGCATACACTTTTTATACATACATACATATATACACAAATATGCATATTATTATAGTTCTATAATTGCATCAAATTGCAAGCGGTAGAGTTTTTTTGTTTAATAAAGCCCATGGGGATAAAAAGTATTGACAAACAAGTTGTTTTATTATATGTTCTATTTTATTTTAGTTGAAAACTAACAAAAACCCGTTTGCTGTGCCGAAAAATCAAAGTATTTTATTTTGGTGTTGTAAAATAGTATTTGGCGGTCTCCATAGTCAAAAGAATTTTTGGCAAACATCCTCCCTAAAAAAAGGTTTCTTAAATAATACAGGCCTGCGAAATGTAATAAATTTAAAACTAAAATGGATTAATTTGCCTTTTTAATGGTAGTTTTCATGTTGGAACATCTGCATTCATTTTTTTTTTTTAACCGACTTCCGAAAAAGGAGGAGGTTTTCAGTTCGTCGGAATATTTATTTATTTATTTTTTATTTTTATTTTTTACCGCATAACTTTGGACCACGTCAACCGATTTCGATAATCCTTTTTGCATCGGAAAGGTAGTGTCTCAGAGGTGGTCCCTTACTAATCTGGTAAAGATCCGATAAGTGGATCATGAGATATATATATATTTTATTTTTTATATGAGAGTTGAAGTCGGTTTTTTTTTGCTAAAACTTACTTGTTTAGCTTAATGACGAATTTAGCACGTGAAATCTACCACGCGACATTTTTTACGTGACGTTTGTCAAAACAATTGAAGCAATTTCATTTAATACTACAGACTTCGCATGTAGTATATCGTTGTTTAAAGTACAAAACCGCTTATCAATTTAATACAAAGGGTGCATAAATTATTTTGTAGAGCTCTCTCTTTTATAAAGCAATCGCATTTTTGGCTAGTATATTTCAGGACGAATGGATAAGGCTTAAGCCAAGAGCTTCGTTGAGCAAATCCCATTTTTGACAAAAAATGTCAGTAACGCGGTTTTGCAGTACGACGATACGTGGTTTTGTACTTTAAACGACGATCTATACTTTAAATTTTGACTTAACCGCCAATTCAGGGTATATTTTTTGGAAATATGTGATTTATTATGTTTCAACTACATATATATTCGAACCAAATCGGACCATAAATACGGTTTTTGATAATACGTCGACCCTAGCATCACTTACAGTATATATTTTAAAAAGCAGACAAAGTGGCCCATAAATACGTAAGATATATGTTTGACTTATTGTTTTTTTTTTTTTGTCGCGGTAGACCTTCCGATGGAACACCCATATACTAGAACACTGTATTCTATTCAAGGCTCGAATCGTAACATCCGTTCACGGATCGAAAACGATACGAAAGAAAATTACGTCAGGCAGTATAAGCTGGGCTCGAATCGTAACATCCGTTCACGGATCGAAAACGATACGAAAGAGAATTACGTGATATGTCAGGTAGTATAAACTAAATGGGACAAAGAGTACGTTCACGTATGTTATAATCCGAAAAATGTGTTTTTACGTGACGAGTAGTACGATATCGTATGTGACGATTCGAGCCCAGTTTACTTTAGTATCGATCGTTTACTTGGAGCAGCAGGACGTGTTGTGGTGCACCTCCGCGCAGTCGTAATAAGAGAGCGGCTTGGGGAATTTTTGTGTGTTTTTGTAAAGTTTTTATACATATTTTTTTAAACGTTGTGTGCAGTTTTTTTGAACAGATAAAATAACTTTACGAATATAGATAACAGATATAATTTTTATTTGAAAATTTACAATTTTTCACAATTCACAATTTTTTATTTTTATTACCTGAAAAGTAAAAAAAGAAAAAATTTATTTTAGTAAGCTAGATACAATTTTTATTGTTATTTATAATATTATTTGTTATATTTCTTCATCTTTCCGCCTATTTTGTATGTGGGTACCCAGGTACCCCTGTTGGACTATTCGTGTAAATTTTTTCAAATTCAAAATTTTCTAGGCTGAAAAGAAATATAAAATATTTCAAATGCATTTCTCCATAAAAAATAGAATCAATCAATTTGTGGGGACCCGGGAGGGTTTTAAAAATTTATTCCAG